AAGGCAGCACTGCCCTGAAGGGTTGCCCCAGTCAGAGTCCACTCTAGGGCAGGGGATTGGGGCTTTAACCAGCCCAGGTGTTATGGTCCAGAATGAGGCAAAGTCAGACTGAGGAGAGGTGGGTGGAGGGGATGCTGAGACAAAGACTGCCGAGTAAGGGAGACAGAGGCTCATGTCCGGCAAACTGTGAGAGTCCTCGAACCAGGAACAGCGCTGGACACTGCCTCGGCCCTGCCCTGCGTGGAAAGGCTGCCCTCCCCCAAGCAGCCTAACTAGTGCTTTAGGAACAGGAGTAAAGTCAGAAATAATGGACCAGACAGCCCCCACGTCAGCATGAGCCACATCAGGGAGTAACGGGACGGGGCCCCCAGCATCACCCACTGGCCAGGCCTCAATCCCAGAACTACATCAAAAAGCCGAGCCAGCCAGCTGTGTCAACTCACGCCTCACGTGGCCAATTGCCTTTCTCCGCCGCCGTTCCGTTCGCTTCCAGAGGGCTGATGTGATTTGCATATGGGATTTATCCTTTCCAGTAAAATCTATCTTTGCTCCCAATCACGTGTTCTAATCAGGATTCTTTTGAGCAGGACATAACTAGGCTAAAGTCAGAGGATTTTGTCCACAGTCGATCTTCCATTGTCTCCCACACAGTTAAATTCTTGTCCAGGTAAAGGAAGGAGGTCGAACCAGGTAAAGAGTTCGACAGGAGACACCTGCACTGGTCACTAGGGTATCTGGCTCCCCCTTCTGTCCCTGTGGGAGTACTGCATGTCCTCATGGTAGGGTCACACAGGAAGAGGGGGTTCAGTGGTGAGTTGGAGGTCCCAGTGCGTCAGAGCAGGACTGTTTCCTCAAAGGTACAGCTGCTGCGTTTCCAGACGTCGACAGTCAGGCTTTTCTTTCTTCTTTAAGAAACAGATAGCCAGGCATCTCTGATAGACTTGAACCTTAACTTTCAGGGAGCAGCTAAGGGCATTAACCATTTGCACCCAGGGTTTGACCTTGGCCTTGATTGATGGTAAGTTTTGAGAAGATAGCTGCTCCGTTGAAGGATGTCTGTGGGTGAGGAGGGAGCTGGCTCCAGGAAAGCTTCCATAAGCACAAGGCATCATCGTTTATTAAGAAGACTATCCTTTGTTCCCATTCCAAAGAAAGGTGACCCAACTGAGTGTGGAAACCACAGAACAGTGTCATTGATTTCACATGCAAGCAAGATTCTACTGAAGATTATCCAAAAACGATTAGAACAGCACATCAGCAGAGAACTGCC